CCACCAAAGAAAAATTACTAGTCATCTAAGATGGCAACCAAGTGGACCAAGTTGGACTGAGGCTCAAATTAGATATTACAGGCAGAGACCATCTAACATGTGTCTGATCGTGCGCATGCTCCTTGCTGCCGACCCAGAAGAGGCCCCAAAACATTGTGGGCTTATGCGCTTTGCCCATGCGCACAGGGGTCAGGAACAGAACCCTCGTGCAAAATGGTTGCTGACTCTTCTTCATTGGCAGTTTTATGTCTTTTTAAAACAAGATACTTTCAGGAATTGGGCTGCAAGGCAGGGAAGATATAGGCTTACTTAATTATTGATCATTCAGCTCAAAATCCCCATCCTCAAATTGATATTTTTGTTCATATGGCTGTTTGAGAGAGAGAGAGAGAATATAGATTTAGGCTGCTGGGGGTGATGGAAGTTGTAGTCCAACATCTGGGTGGTCACAGGTTGCCCACCCCTCTTGTAGGTGAAAAGCACCAGGAAATCAGTGATTTTAAACAGAATAGCCAGAGGGGAAAGAATTAAGCAAGCTTCCTTTCCCTATTACGCAGCTTGTCTAAGCTGATTTTGCTTTAAAAATGTGGGCTTCACCTTAACATGTACTTTATTCCTGAAAGGAGCCATTTTTTTGGTATTTACACTCCTTCAATATTGCACTGTCCAAATTGTTCCAACTGCAGAAACCACAAGATATTGAGAAGACCTTTCTTGCTATTTCTATTACAGTGGTGCCTCGCAAGACGAAATTAATTCGTTCCGCAAGTCTCTTCGTCTTGCGAGTTTTTCGTCTTGCGATGCACGGTTTCCCATAGGAATGCATTGAAAATCAATTAATGCGTTCCTAGGGAAACCGCCTTCAGACCAGGTCCGGGGACAGTCTGTCCCCCGACCTCTTCTGAAGGCTGGGGGGGGGACAAGGGCTTTTCTTCCCACCCCCAGCATTTTAAAAAACCCCGGGACAGCGGAGGACTTCTCCGCTGTCCGGGGCAATCTTAAAATGCTGGCGGGCGGCATTTTAAAATCGCCCGGGACAGCGGAGGACTTCTCCGCTGTCCGGGGCGATTTAAAAGCCCCTGGGAAGGCAGGCAGGGGGGGGACAAAGATTTTCGCCCCCCGCCCGCCTTCAGAAGAGGTCCTGGACCTCTTCTGAAGGCCAGCGGGGGGCAAAAGTCTTTGCTCCCCCCTGCCTGCCTTCCCGGGAGAGCGGAGAAAGGCAGCGCGTTTCTCCGCTGTCCCGGACGGCTTTTGAAGGCAGGCTTTTGAAAGCCGTCCGGGACAGCGGAGAAACGCAGCGCACCCTTCCCGCTGCCCCCCGACTTGGCTGGAAGGCTGGCGGGGGGAGGAGCCTGCTCCTCCCCATAGCCAGCCCCGCAAACTCGGGGGACAGCGGGAGAGGCGCAGCGCGCCCTTGCCGCTGCCCCCCGACTTGGCTGGAAGGCTGGCGGGGGGAGAAGCCTGCTCCTCCCCATCGCCAGCCCCGCAAACTCGGGAGACAGCGGGAGAGGCGCAGCGCGCCATCCCGCTGTCTCCTGACATGGTTTGGAGGCTGGCGGAGGGCTTCCTCCTCCCCCAGCCCCGCAAGCTCCCAGAGCGATGCCAAAGCTGCGCGCAGCTTCGGCATGGCTCTGGGTCCCGTTCTGGGGGAGGGCGAAGCTCGGGCTTCTCCCGCACCAGCCCCATGCCTGGCGGTGGGGGAATAAATTTTTCCCCCTTTATTTCCCCCCCCCCCCGCCAGGCTTCGGAGGAGGTCCGAGGACAGTGGGGAAGACGCGCTGCGCTTCCCCGCTGTCCCGGAGATTTCCCTATGGGCTTTCGTCTTGCGAAGCAAGCCCATAGGGAAATTCGTTTTGCGAAGCGCCTCCAAAACGGAAAACCCTTTCGTCTAGCGGGTTTTCCGTCTTGCGAGGCGTTCGTCTTGCGGGGTACCACTGTACTCTTCCTATTCTTTCTTCTTGAGAGTTTACATTGTAGCACCGGTTGGGAATTTTTGCACATTTCATTGGGACCAGTGCTGGGCCAAGATATTTTGAAGCTGCCCACTCGCTCCCCCATTGGATTAATATTGAAGGGCAGGCGATTTAAAAATAATTTTAATTGTACCTTTGCAAACAAAAAAATACTCATTTATTTTAAAAGAAAAACAAAAGCCAGGCCTTTTCAAGCCCATTTTAAACATGAACACTACAGTTTGATTTCCATGTGAGTTCATTAGGCTGCGGGAGATCAGAAACCAAATGGCAGGCACTCATTATTTCTGTTTTCTTGGACAATCAATTCTTCTCTTCCCCATGTCCATTCTCTCTTCCTGGGAGTTTACAAGAGAGCATGCTTAAAAATAAGTTTGAAGTCTGGTGATAGAGAACACTAATGGAGGACTGAGCTGTTGTGCACTGCTTGTTTGACCATTTCCGATTCATGGGCAGTAAAATTACCATGTTTCCAACTTCCAACACAGCATTGCACTGGAAATTATGGCATGAGTGCATAGAAGTGTGAAAACTATTTCTCCACCCTTTACTGAATGCTACAGATGTTCTAAAGGAGGCAGGTGACAAATTCTTCACTTCGTAGTTTAATTAAAAGATTAGTTAAGTAGCTGTCACCATAGGGGAAATGTCATTTGCCTTCCGCTGCAGCAGAAACGTTGCAGCTGATTGGAAGTTGAACCAGCACTTCTGTTTCTCTTTGCTTGCGCCGAGACGGCAGTAGCAAAGGAAGTAGATCACTGAATTTCATCCCACTGCATGTAGAGTGCTTTGGTTGCTGACGTTCCCATTGACAGGACTTTCTAACCATGATTAGGTTCCTCTGAATTTGTACTTCAAGTTCTTCACACCTTGATTGTGGTTATCAGCTGGAAATCTGTGGTGCATGATGAGACCCGTAACGTATCATTGCCTCGTACCTTAGCGTAATTCCCCTGAAAGAGGAAGAGAAGTGAGGTTGCTAAGAGACAGTGAATTCATCCCATGACGGTGGCAGTGCTTAGAAATCCTAGCAGTGAGTCAGTCACGTAAATTATCTTGTTGCAGCCTTTAAAACAATCTTGCAAGGTAGGTTAGTATTAACTCCATATTGCAGGAAGTAAGCTGAGGGGGGAGAGAGGCACGTTTAGCCACCTAGTGAGATTTGATCCAGGTTTCCTTGGTTGTAACTCAGGGCTGATTCATACTTACCTTTCGTTCATGCTTTAAAGTTTCCCGTCCAAATTCAGTTTGAACCTGAAAACTCGCCCTTTCATCTTGCCTGGGTGCAGTTTTCACTGCCTTGTCCGCATCTAGTCCCCAGTGGGTTGTCAGGCATTTTGTAAATTCACAGTGTTAAGGCAGGCAGAAAACATGGCATCTCCTTCTGAATTTCAGTCTCTCATTCTCTTGCCTCATAATGGAAAAAGATGGAGATCTCCCACTAGATGTAGGAAAGATGCCTCCGCTTATTGTTTAGTCAACCAGTTTCTCCATCTACATTGAAATCATTTGTGTGTATTAAAAGCTGTTGAATCAAATCAAATGGGGGGGGGGGAGATCCTATATAGAGATAAAGGGGCATTTAGTCTGTGTACACACCCTACATTTAAAAGCACTTTGCCACCACTGCTCCCAAGAACCTTGGGAACTGCAGTTTGTTATGGGAGCTGTGAGGGTTAAACTGCAGTTCCCATGATAAATTTTTTGACCAAAGGGGGGGGTTACGCTTTGATTGGATGGTGTGTGCCTCCTGTGGGGGGACATAGCATATGTAAAACAAGGAAAAACTGAATATATTGAGGCAGAAGAACGGAATATGAACTTGGGCAAACCTGTAAGCTGCATGTGCATGGTGTTGATTGGCGTTGGTTGTCATTTTTACTGTAATTATACTCATTACCTTTGAATTAACGAGGGGTGGGTTCTGATAGATTATAGGGGGGGTGACAAAAGTTTTCCTTGGTCAAATGTTCTTACTGCGTTGCAAGGCCAAGATCATCCCTGACCTGTGTGAATCTCTATGGTATGTAATTAGCACCATGTTAAAAAGCTAAGCTGTTTGTACTGGATAAAGTTGATCTGCGAAACGTAAACACGAAACACGACAATAAAACAGAAGCTGTTGAAATTTTGGCTGCTAAAATGGGCTCCTGCCATCCGAATGCAGAAGCAGTTTTACTGTTTTGTTCTTCCTAGCATCACCACATGAGCTCAGTGCAAAGAGCACAAAGTAATAATCTATCCTGCCATGTGATATTATGTCATTTCCGATGGTGTATGTGCTGTCACAGACAAGGCAGTAACATAGACGCTAATTTGTTGGCTTTTACATGTTCATTTTTAGAGTTCATCCTGATTTTTAGGTAATCTTTCTGTTTCTTTAAGCTTCTTATTAATAAGAGCCCTTCCCTGCTGAAAGGCAGTATATAAATATTGTAAATAAATACTATTTTCAACCAAATCAGGTAAAATAAATGCAGGGTTTCTAAAGAAAGGTTTCTTATTTGTAAGAATTTGGTTAGCTACTGATATGTGTTTTAGTTTAAGCATTTCATTTATTTCACTTTAAATTGCAGTTGAGTTGCTTGTACAACTAATTTTTATTTTTTTTATTTCTGTCTGTTGATTAAAATAACACAAATCGTTTATAAATTCTGCATGTAATCCTGCTGCAAACTCTCTCTTGTCTTTTATTCTCTTAATGTGATTCCTGTAGGGAAAAACTTCAGTAAGTGTGGCCACTAGTAAATTCTTAATATATTCATTTAGTTTTCCTAGTTTTAAGGGCACTATGGAATCTAGAAGAATCAGCACCTGTTAATGACAGACTCTCAGGATAAAAATATTTCTAAGCAGTCCTCCTGAAAGCTGTGTTGGCTGTATGGGTATGCTTTCTGGATTGGAATGGAAGTGTTAGGTGAAAAAGTTTATCAGAGAAAAAGGATTTCATTCCCCCATTTGGAAATCGTACACGTGTGCTGCAAAGAATACTGAGTCCTTTTTTTTTTGTTTCTTATGTTTCAACAGGGCAGAGTTTAGGGTATGGATTTGTTAACTATATTGATCCAAAGGATGCAGAGAAAGCCATTAACACTTTAAATGGACTCAGACTCCAGACCAAAACCATAAAGGTAAGAGAATACAAAGAGTATTTTGCTAAATTCAGGAGGAAGAGTGTAGTTAAGACAGTGTCTGGCTATCTCATCAATGTTGCATTCTTCACAGCCCAAAGGGTGCAACTAGCTCTTACTTTGGAACAAAAGAAAGGTGTATAGCAGATGGCACTTTCTTCTTCTTTTCAAACTGCCTATTGTTTTTGTTTATAAAAAGAAAAGAAAAAAACAAGCAGAAAATCTTTAAATGACTATCACAGGATTTCAAGTCAGCATGTCAAAAGCACAGCGTTTAGAGAGTCATCCACAAAAATCATAGCAGCAAATTAGGGGAGAAAATAGGCTTTTTACGAAATGGCTACTACATGGGGTTTGGTTGCTTATTTCGGCTATCATTATCTTGCCATGAGATAACTGGGCATACGACTGATGCTCTTGTCAAGATGCACCTGTAGTTACCCTAGAGTAAATGGTGATCAGGTACCAGTTTTTAGCATTAAGTTTGTTTTCCGGAAAGCAGAACATTCTGAAGGAAACCTCAAGATCAAGTGATCTTAAAGCACTTGTCTGCATTCTGTTAGCATTTTTGGTACTGTAGTTCTTTATGGGGGGAACTATAGTGCTGGGCTGTAACGTCTTCCTGATTTCAGAGAGAAAAGCTCCATGCAAATTGTTTCATAATATAGCTACATGTACATTGTAGTAATTTAATACATATTCTATTTTTAACATATTCTTTCTAAATCCCCTTAACATAGTATCAAATTTGATATCTTTTACACTGTAAGAAAATGCTTACTATAGGATTCCCTGCAATTACTACACATTTTGCTTCAGTGAGTTAATATGAGGAAACAAAACAAAAATATTCTTATCATTACAGTGTAGTACTGAGTCAGCAGCTTCCTTGTCTGCTTCCAAATTAAAGGAAGAAATTGCTGGCTTCACCTGAAAGCCCATAAGCAAAAAAAAGAGAGGGGGGTCACTTTTTTAAGAAAGAAAGGAAAAATAGATTCTATGTGTCTTAAATAGTCCAACGTGCATTAAATTCACCCTCAAGGTAGAGATTTTTAGTGCCGTGTTCACTTTCTGTATTATTTTTCTGCTTGAAAGCTTGGTCATCTTTGCTGTTTTATAAGTTGCTTTCTCATGTTATTATCATAGTGCTATAGACTCAGATTCAGGGTGGGGAGAAACCATGATAAGGAGGATCCTAGAACCCCAGAATTTATTGACTAGGACTCTAGTATCCGCTTTTGGATGCATGGATTTAAATAGGTTTTCATACTTAACCAGTTAATGACTACAAAACCATTATATTTTGATGGTGTTTATCTCTTGTTTTACTCTTTAAAGTAAAATGTGTATTTTGAGGGGCAGGGGTGGTCTTGATCTAAAGGCCAAACTTCTTTTAATTCAAATATGTCTACCATATCAAATTTGGATAGTTACTGTTTTTTAAAGACTACGGGTATGATTTTGGTCCAGGGTACATCAAGGTGGTTAGCGAAGAAATAATAAAGGAAAAACCCAATAGAACTGTGCTGTGCAAAGGTATGAAATAATATGTAAGAAGCATTAAATAAGTTTTTTAAAAACATCCTATCTCTCCCCTAAAGGTTTGTTTTGCTGGTTAGGGTGTGAAAGTAAAGGAGAATGTTCAGCCATTTCAACTCATTTGTTTATGTATAACTCGTTCTGTGTCCTTGTTTATTTTTCGATTGTGATATGTTCTGATCTGTGTAAACACACCAGAGAGGATTATGTTCATCCGTAATTTTTCCTATAGCAGGGAAGGTTTTCTTTTCTTCTTAGTATCTGCTTTGTAAAATGACAGGCTGTTCTCCTTGGTGTTAAATGGGACACCTTCACCTTGAAATTTAATAATTTAACAATTACTTATTTTATTATTATGGCCTAGAAATGTTACTGCTTCTTTGTTTTAAACCTTCTTGTTTCCTACACTAAAGTGCCTCCCACACATGTGCATTGAATATGGAAAACAATAAATAGACAGGGATTTGTTTTTGCATTTCTTCATATGAAAGAAAGCCTAAACTCACTCTCTGCACATGGGGGGGGGGGGATATATCATGAAGAATGCTAGAATTCCCGTAAAAACTAACACTCTGTGAGCAGGGTTTTTTTATTAAAAAAAAATGGGACAGCAGGATCCCCTAACTGCAGTTTGAAGTGATACAATTTTATATAGATCATGTTAAAGAATATATTTGTTTCCATATAACTAAAAAAAAAAGGGGGGGAGCCACCACAATTACCAGTACTTAAAACACCATAGATGTGTGAAATAAGGACATAGAGCTTGCTTAATTCCTTCTGATTGGTAGAATGCTTGATTAAACTGGTGGGGTTTGATTAACTAAAGTTACGCTCAAGGTTAGTTAGTGATCTGCATGTAGAATTACAGAACCGGTATAAAACATCTGTATGTAAATTGTGCTAGATAATGACATAACAGTTAGTCATCTTGTTATAATCGTAGTACATAAGAACAGATTGCTGGATCAGGCCAGTGGCCTTTGTAAACCAGCATCCTGTTCTCGCAGCAGCCAACCAGATGCCTGTGGGAAGCCCACAAACGGCATCTGAGCACAAGAACCCTCTGCCCACCTCTGGTACCTAGCAACTGGTATTCAGAGGCATTTCAGTGCTGTCAGTTTACAGTGTCCTCATAATTTTAAACTTCATGTAAAATTATGAATGAATGAATGAAACAGTGAAAATACTTCCTGAAGAAATACAGCCGTTGAACAACAATTGTCCGTTTTTAAGATGGCTCCTTCTGTCCATCCATGACCATGATAAAAAGTGTAATTACACAACTGTCACTATTTTCTGACAGTTTATTTAGTTTTAATAAAGTTTACATTTCCTCATACTTCTGGTACTGAATTACAAAGTTGATTGGCCAGAAGATGAAACAACGCAAATGGCATAAGACACAAGAACATGGATATTCGGTTAATGGTTATTGGGCAAATTTAGGCCACAGCTTTATTGGTTACAGAATGTGAGCGGTATTGACTTAGGCATTGGAATTGACCCGACTATATCTGACTCCTGCCCGTCACACAGGGAGTCCTGTAAGGGTCAACCACTGGTAGGGGGAGCCCTGTCGATGCAAACCAACTGAAGCTCCCCCTAGGTTCCTGACGGGGTTGTGGCATGGCCCTAGCCCTGCCCCGGGCGTTGGACAAGATTACACCCCTGGATTCCTTTAGCGGAATACCCTTAAGCTTGAGGGGCAGTTGATGGCCACACCTCCCCTCCCCCATCATAAGACCAACCAATGCCTAACTGCCAAACCTTACAAAGTTGTGACAATTGCTACGAGATAGGTGAAAACCAATTGCTACGAGATAGGTGAAAACCAAATGGTCCATAGCAAGGCCAATGTCGAAACCTGAAACTAGGGAGGGCAGGCAGAAGATTGAGGAAGCGAGCCAAGAGGAAGCTCTCCGGCTCGCGCTTCAGTTTAAATGAGGCCCGGCCACGCCCCCCCCCCCCCCAGCCAACGGATTGGCTGGCTGGACAATGACGTGGCCGGGAACCTCTGGGTGACATGGGACTTCGTTCCCCACCCCCAGAGGGGAGTGGGTGGCCACGTGGTCCACTGCAACTCTTCCCCACTGGGAAATAGAGTGGATTTAGCACCATTCCAGGCTTCAGGGGCAGCAAGGATAAAGGGGCGCAGCATTTGAGGGAGCAGAAGATGTTTGCACACTTGACATGGGTGGAGCTTGAAGAGCAAAGGCCACAAGCAGGAATTCATTGGGATCTCAGAGCAGAGAGATCAAACTTGAAATGATGAAATAATGTTCACGAATAGTCAAATGAGAAAATACACGGGAAGTACTAGCCTTGGGAACAGGGGGGAAACATAATTCTTGAGACATACTGTAGCCCTAGAAACTTTTGTAGGGAAAAGCAATTGGTAGAAAGTGTTGGGGGAGGGGGGGAATCCCCTTTCTCAAACATTTCCTATTATTAAAGGGAGAGGGCAGGGAAATAAGTTTTATTATTTTGCTGTTTGTTCCTTGAATACTTCTACCATAGTTGCCTCAGGATGTGGAAGTAGAAAATTGCAGATTTAGGGGTGTGATTCACATCCCACTGAAGTTAGTGGCAAAGTTTAGTTGATGATAAGGGATGTGGATTGCAGCCTTACAATAACCAGTGGGAACCATTCTGTTGGCTGTGGTGCTTTAACCCACTTGCAAATTTTATTCCCATGGTATTGCCAAAATAAGTTGCTGTGTAAGTTTTGCTTGTCAGGACCACAGTTGCCTTTACAATCAGTAATAGTTGCTACGATGCTTAGTTATATAAATATTCCTGACATTTTTAGCATTAGTTAATGTCATTGGCCTGTCAACAGTATTGTTGCTTTTTTTTTTAAGTGACTGCTTTTGGGTGACCTAAGTGAGTGATTTTGTTCCTTCCACTTCAACAACAGGCCAAGTAATTGCATGAGGGCAAGTAGTTAAATTTTGTCACATAAATGGTTGTCATTAAAAGGAAATACATTGCTAGTGTCCGGTATAATTAGGTTTTTAAACTCTCTCATGTGTCATCTTTGACATGATGTCAGAGACCACTGTAGATGACCAGAGCATCTATCTGCAGCCCTAGCTCTTCCAATGACAAGCATTTAAGAAAAAGGAAGATACTAGCAAATAATCACACTTTTAATGGAATAGTGATCACCATATATGAGAACATGCCCATGAGACAACACAAATTTCAAATACCCTTGTTACAGAAATTATTTTGACATCTTATAGTGTGTGTCATGGTGTTGGTCACCCTGTTATGCCCATCAAATTTCAAACATCTTGGCCATTGGGCAACATTTAAATTTTTGGTCTTCATCTTTGGAGGCGTAACAAGTGGAGAAGTTATAAACCTTTTGTTTGAACACAGACAGAAAATTTGACCAGTATAAAAGCAGTGACTCGGGGAGGTCAGGCCAGAGAAGAAATGCACGAATTCAAATT